ATTGAGATCTGTAGAATCTGGAGGCCAATCAACACCTCGAAGACACCTTCTATTGCTCTGTGGTCCAGGTTGGATGCTCACATGCCCATTGTAGGCACTTTTGGCTGTGGACACAGGTAGGTATGGATACCCTGACCAGTCTGCATCTATGCAGCCCCATATGCAATAAACTGTGGATTGTGTGTTCTGACACATTTATAATGCAACCAGCAATAACCTTTACAGCACTCTGAGCTACAGTAGCTGTTCTATTGGATCTAACTACACGGTCCAACCTTTGCTGCCCACATGAATCAATGAGCTTTGTCTGCTTATGACCTTATTGCCAGTTTTCCTTCCTTGAATCAATTTTGATAGGTCCTTACCACTGCAGACCGGTTACTTCTCAAATCCCTGGAGTTGCTTTGACCCCATCACCGAACCATTACAATTTGGCCCTTGTCTAAGTCGCTGAAATCTTTCGCTTGCCTGTTCTGCTTTCATCACATCAACTTTCGGGATAATTTGGAGATGTTCACTTGCTGCCTAATATATCCCACCCACTTTCAGGTGCCATTGTAATGAGACAATCAATGTTATTCACTATACCTGCAGTGGTCATATTGTTATCGCTGATTGGTGTAAAATTACAGTTACCACTTGAGCTCCCATGCCTGTATACCCCATGGACTAAAGCAATTTTTAAATTTCCATATCCATGGGAGGACACACAGACCTCTACAGGCTAGACAATGGCACCCTGACTGCCATTAGGTATCGGGATGAAATCCATAGTCCCATTGTCAGACCCTACACTGGTGCAGTGGGTCCTGGGTTCCTCCTGGTGCACGACAATGCCCGGCCTCATGTGGCAAGAGTATGCAGGCAGTTCCTAGAGGATTAAGGAATTGATACCATTGAAAGGCCTCCACACTCGCCTGACCTAAATCCAATAGATCACGTCTGGGATATCATGTTTTGGTCCATCCGACACTGCCAGGTTGCACCTCAGACTGTCCAGGAGCTCAGTGATGCCCTGGTCCAGATCTGGGAGGATATACCCCAGGACACCATCCACCGTCTCATTAGGAGCATGCCCCGACGTTGTCAGGCATGAATACAAGCATGTGGGGGCCATATATACTACTGAGTACCATTATGAGTTGCTGCAATGAAATTTCAACAAAATGGACTAGCCTGCTGCATCATTTCGGGGTGTCTATGAATTCAGTCCTCTGTAGATTGATAATTATCATTTCCTTCAAACGATGGGGCATCCTTACCTTCCTAACACATTACTCAGTCCATATCAGTATAGATATCCAACATGATATTTTTCCCTATTGAGATTTGATGTGTTTTCAACGTGTTCCTTTAATTTTTTTGAGCAGTGTATATAAAATTAGAGATGAACTTAAAAAGTGATTCTAAAGATTTAAGGAAGTGGAACTCCCTTCCACAGTTGGAAGTCGGAGGTGGTGTCAGTATTTTCCAAAAACCTGTTAGATGGGCATCTTAGAGAATGCAATATACAAGGGATATGGGAAATGGTAGTGACATAAACAAATACACACACAGTAACACAGGTTGACCTGGATGGACTGATGCCCTTATTAAATATTTTCAACTATGTAATTATGATTATAGAGCCTATCACATATCACATTTTTACCTATAAAATATATACATTTTAATTAATACAAAACCACCACAGATAGACAATAGGATGTAGTGACCTGAAATCCATACAAAAAAAACATTTACACCAATAGAAGAAAAAAAATTTGCAGAGGTCTGCACTATAATATTTCATTCTGATCACCTGACCACCATTTTCAGAGTTCAGAATGAAATATCTTAGACCAATGGTAATCTTTGCTTTTATTGGTTTCAGGTCACTTCATATTATTGTATAAGTGTGATTTTGTTTTTTTTTGGTCTTATAAAAATGTATTTGTTTTATTGTATAAAATGTGGTATGTCATTGGTGCCAAAACTTTTTTTTTTTTTTTGTTTATCCCTAATACTATCCTTAATAGACTCAGAAAGGTCACTGTACAACGTAATAGTTAATGAGGGGGACTTCATCAGGGCTTGTGTATTGTATAATTACAAAATGTGGCTGGACTCCATTGAAAAGTAACACATGTTATATATTGTCTAACAAATTTCTGCTACTGACAGTCTGTACAGTATGAAGCCCAGTCTCATTTAAAGATCCAGCCACATTTTATAGATTATAAATAAAACAAGTCCTGATAAAGCCCCTGAAACGCTATGGATGTCTTTCTACAGATGTTTAATTAAACACCCTTTTGGACTGTCAGAGCTGACAGAGAAAAAAGTATTACCGTATATACTCGAGTATAAGCCGAGTTTTTCAGCACATTTTTTTTTGTGCTGAAAAAACGGCCCCCCTCGGCTTATACTCGAGTCAACGTCTGCAGATGTCTAGCAGGGGGCGCTGCTTCTAAAGCAGCGGTTCTCAACCTGTGGGTCGCGACCCCTTTGGGGGTTGAACGACACTTTCACAGGGGTCACCTAAGACCATCGGAAAACACATATTTCCGATTGCCTTAGGAACCGAGACACCGCTCCTCTATCCGTCTCCAGGTGTGGGCGGGATGACATGCCGTCCCTGTCATCTGGACACACCCCCGGGATCAATCCTCGCCGGTGATTGGCCGCCGGAACTGTAGCTCAGGAGAGGCACACAGGCGCCCAATCACCGGCGAGGAGGTGGAGCTTGGAGAGGAGGAGCCAAGCGGCACCACGAAGATCGAGCGAGTGAAGAGGAGGAGAGCGGCCGGAGAAGGAAGACATCTGACCGGTAAGTGTGTACCATGGGAGAGGGAGGGAGCGAGCGAGCCCAGGCTGGAGCAGGGGTCAGCAAGGTAAGTATCGTTGGTGTCAGTAGGAGGAATAGTGCCCAATCATTGGTGTCACTAATACCAACGATGGGGCACTATTCCTCCCCCCACTGACACCAACGATGGGGCACTATTCCTCCCCCCACTGACACCAACGATGGAGCACTATTCCTCCCCCCACTGACACCAACGATGGGGCACTATTCCTCCCCCACTGACACCAACGATGGGGCACTATTCCTCCCCCCACTGACACCAACGATGGGGCACTATTCCTCCCCCCACTGACACCAACGATGGGGCACTATTCCTCCCCCCACTGACACCACCGGCTTATACTCGAGTCAATAGTTTTTCCCAGTTTTTTGTGGTAAAATTAGGTACCTCGGCTTATATTCGGGTCGGCTTATACTCGAGTATATACGGTATATTATATTATTATACTATGACATGCTCTTTGTTCTATCCTATGTTATTGGGAATGTAACAAGAAGAGTGGGCACACCCCAAAGTGGGTGGGAACGTCCAAAAATCCAATGGTGGACAGGAAAAAATGCAGATAGGATTGGCTGGAAGATTTTACCACCAATAAATATAAGAAGCCACTGGGGGACCAAGACATTCCACCTCTATTTCAAATGTCACATTTTACATGGTATATATTTTCCTTGCGATACACAGGAAGAACCTGTGCTTCATGACGTGTGTTTTTTATTACTCATATGCCTGTCACATGACAGATACATGCATACCTGCGTCATATTGCTGGAGGCTCCTTTGTTGTTGGTCAATTTGAGTTTGCTGAATGCCACCTCTTGCCGCATCCAATGGGCACCTGTGTTAGGAGAATCAGGATGTTGATAAATTCGGTTCCCTAGAAAAAAAAAAAGAAAACTTTATTAGATCTAACATCCCACATCTAACATCTGAAATCTGAAGAATATATTTTAAAAATAGATATTTTTAAAAATATATTTTTTAAAACATATTCTTCAGATTTTTTTTAACATCTGATGGGGACAAGGGCATCTTCCCCACAACCCTGGGCGCTGATTGTGGGGGTATGCAAGCAGGGAGCTTATTGGAATCTGGAAGCCCCGTTTAACAAGGGGGCAGCCAGATCATGCCCCACCCCCCCATGTAAATGAGTATGGGGTTTATAGTATCCTTACTGATTCATGAAAAGTGTCCAAAGTAAAAAGAAAAAAGCACACAATTTTTGACAAGTCCTTTATTAAATAAATAAATATGTCTCTCTCTCCCCCCCCCCCCCAAGTAAATCCAACATCAATCATGAATGCCGACGGAAAAAAAAAAAAAGAAGAAAAACCCCGTTGCCTGCCGAGCATGTTGCCTGCCGAGCATGACGTGTCCCATCTAGTGACACACGCTGAATGACAGGTAAACATGGGGGCAGAGTCACTTGGTGACCCCGCCCCCATGTCTACTTGTCATTCAACGAGTGTCTCTCTGCAGGACATGTCATTTGCCAAATGAAAGGTAAACACGGGGGCAGGGGTAAGCCGGTGACATCATCGGGTGACCCCCATCCCCTGTCATTTGGCAAGTGAAATGTCCTATGGAGAGACACTCGCTCAATGACAAGTTAATATATGGCAGAGTCACCTGTTGATATCTCTATTGTGTGGGTGAGCGGCCAGCATTCATACATTGGCCAGCATTCATACATTGTATCTACCTTGGAGCGACATTTATTTTTTGGGGTTTTTTAAATAAAGGACTTGTCAAAAGCTGTTTTTTTTTTCATTTGACACTTTTTTGGTGAATGAGTAGGGGTACTATGTACCCCAGACTCATTCACATGGGGGCGGGGTAGTCCATTCCAGCACACAGAAGTTGATTTACAGCTCAACTGTGCATGTGTCTCTATGAAACTGTGTAAACAGGGGTGTGTCCACTCCTTCCACTCAGTTCTCAGATTACACTTAGCTCCCTGTTCTATGATGTGCAATATGTGACGTCAGATCCCCGCCCCCTTCCTTCTAGACCTGAGAAATAGCCTTTAATCTGTGTGTTTTAGAAGGCCACTGATTCAGTATGGCAGCCAGGCAAATAGCATTTTCAGAGGGAAGTTAACCTCTATACTTTCCTATGACAAGTGGCCTTCAAAGTTGTATTTTATTTCTCACCTGGCATGTTACCCTCAGCTTTGCCGCATTGGATCCATTTTCCTCCTTGGAATCGCCAGTGATTTTGATCTGCCAGAACCACTTCCACTTGTAACGTATATACTGAGCAAGAGGATCCAGACCCCACCACGCGGTAACAAAGGAATGGGAACATGCGCCTGTAAGAGAGAATACACGCCTATGTTACAAATGCCAGCAGACATGATCAATAATCACAAATATGTAAAGTGGTGTCAGACAACTTTTTGGCTTATAGTAATAGCATGCATATAAAGTGTTATTTTTGAAAAGGCATGGAAGCGTACACTTCATGGAGTGAACTGATATCTGTGAATGGTGCCAAATTGCCAATAATCAGCCTGATGAGTGAATAATTGGGCATCTAGTTGTGGCCCATCTGGAAGAAAAATATATTTTAAAAATATTGTAAAATATTCTTCCCAAATATATTGACATATATTTGAAATGCTACAATTTTGGCCATATTCAATATATTTATATATATATATATATATATATATATATATATACATATACTGTATGTTGAAATGCGTTTATATTACAAAATATATGAAAAATATTTTTAAAAATACATTTCAAATACCGTATTTGCCGGCGTATAAGACGACTTTTCAACCCGTGAAAATCTTTTGAAAAGTCGGGGGTCGTCTTATACGCCGGTATACGGCGAGCCGGTGTCAGGGCGGCACTTTTTCGAGGGGCGGCGCCGCCCCCCTCCTCCTCCAACGGACACCAAGTACAGGGGTGGGCAGAGGGGCTGCTGTACCTTACCTGGCTCCGGCCCGGTCCCACGACGATCCGGTCCAGGAAGCGCGGCTGCTCTTTCTTTCAGTTCAGCCACTCGATGGTCCCCGCCGCCCGCTCGGCTCCGCCTCCTCACCGGTGATTGGGCGCCAGCACTGGAAAGGCACACAGGCGACCAATCACCGGCGAGGAGGCGGAGCCGAACGGCCCCGCGAAAATCAAGCGGCCGAACTGAAAGAAGGAGCAGCCGCTCCTCTCCCCCACTGACACTAACGATGGGGCACTATTCCTCCTCCATACTGAGACCAACGATGAGGTACTGTTCCTCCCCCAGGGCAGCAAGCAGGAGGCTGGGAGTGGAAGTGATAGAGAGTTGAGTAGGGAGGGAGAAAGGAGCAGGAAGCAAGAGCTATGCGAGAGAGAGTGAGGCAGGGGGGAAGAGAGGGTAGAAGAGGGGGACAGGAAGGAGGAAGGCGCACTTTTTCGAGGGGCGGCGCCGCCCTGACACCAACGATGGGGCACTATTCCTCCTCCCCACTGACACCAACGATGGGGCACTATTCCTCCCCCACTGACACCAATGATGGGGCACTTTTCTCCCCACTGATACCAATGATGGGGCACTATTCCTCCCCCACTGACACCAATGATGGGGCACTATTCCTCCCCCACTGACACCAATGATGGGGCACTATTCCTCCTCCCCACTGACACCAACGATGGGGCACTATTCCTCCTCCCCACTGACACCAACGATGGGGCACTATTCCTCCTCCCCACTGACACCAATGATGGGGCACTATTCCTCCTCCCCACTGACACCAATGATGGGGCGCGTTGGAAGAGGGGTAGTCTTATACGGCGAGTATAGCTCAAACCCTATATTTTAACAGGAAAAGTAGGGGGTCGTCTTATACGCCCCAGCCGTCTTATACGCCGGCAAATACGGTATACTGTATGTCTTTAAAAGTACAAATCTACATTTTTGGAATGCGTTTACAATTATATGTAAAACTATATGTTGAAATTACTTTTTTTTGTAAAAAAAAAATCTGAAGAATATATTTAAAAAATATATAATTTTTTAAAATATATATATTTTTTTAAATATATTCTTCAGATTTTTTTTTTAATCATATAAAAACGTCACTGAACAGACAGTTAGTCATGGTTAAGATGTTCTGGACTTTGTTTGCACTTTATTATGTTACTCTACACATCATGTACTGCAAGATTATCATGGGTCCCCATTCACTGGGAACCCCTGGGCAGTACCCATGCATTAAGACATCCCTGGGGGGGCAGCGTAATAAAATTAATCTTGCAGGATAGTGATGGAGTGGCAACCTAGGTTGCACTAACTAGTAAAAAAAAACAGCTATGCACTCTTTGTTCTAAAGTAGCAAAGAATATCCATGAGATTTACTTTGTAATTAATATCTTTATCTCAAAGAGAGCAGGATCTGTCTGGTCATTCTGAAAGATCTTCTGCTCTGTCTGCAAAAATTGGTACCTGTAAATAAGTGGAGCTGTCAGTTGGGGCAGTGCAGGTGAACCCAGCAACACATTCCTCATTTCTTTTTCTGTGAAAGCTGTTTCAGCCAACAAGATGTGAAACCTAATAATCCACCCACCCACAGCTTCTAAAATTCTGAATGACATAGCACTCTCCTACGTGGGCTTTTGATATGAACGTTTTATTTGGAGAAAAATCTTTTTTCTTTATGGATTGATTGATGTTTATTATTATGAATTAGCATTATTTTTTGTTTTTTACGCCTTTTTTTTTTTACCTGATCCAGAACCCCCCTCCCCCCTTAAAGAAAAAGTGTGTAAAAAAATAGACAACTGAAACCTGGATAAGTATACAGAATTATTTAGGTTGAAAAAAGACACAAGTCCATCTAGTTCAACCAACAGAAAAAATAATTACATAGAAAATCTTTATGTACAGCATACTATACCCAGATGAAAGCAGAAAAATATGTACAGGAAAAAACTTTTACTTTGCATAGTACTGAGCCTACTGTAACCCAGTAAACCATTGAGGATTAAGACATTATTTCTATTACATGATCTTTCTGAAACAACATGATCTTTCAAATGAATTTAAAAAAAGTTATTGCCTTTAGTATTACAAGAATTGTTGATCTGACTGATTAGTCAATTCTAGGCCAACATCATCCCATAGCACAGCCTTTCCCAGCCATGGAACCCTAAGGTTCCTCTAGGGCAGGGGTCTCCAAACTTTCTAAACAAAGGGCCAGTTTACTGTCTTTAAACTTTAGGAGGGCCGGACTGTGGCCAGTGGGAGCAGAAAATGTCTTGGTGTCAGCGGGAGTGTTCTCTTTTTGGTATTAGGGGGAGGAATAGTGCCCCATCCTTGATGTCAATGAGAGGAATAATGCCCCATCCTTGGTGCCAGTGAGAGAAATAATGCCCCACTGTAGGTGTCAAGGACAGGAACTATGCTCCATTGTTGCTGACAGTGGGGCAAAAAGTGGCACAAGGGCTGGATAAAAGCAAGCAAAGGGCTGTATCCGGCCCCCGGGCTGCAGTTTGGAGATCACTGCTCTAGAGGTTCTCTGAGCAATGAGCAGTTTGTATTTTCCAATAGATAACCACTGACACTAAAATTCTTTCCACTATCTGAAGGTGGATATTCTTCCCAAAAATTACCAATCTAAGAGGGCCCTTCTCCACTGACCACCAATATAAGGGAGCATATCACTGACCACCAATCAAGGAAGTTGATCTTATCAATCTTATCTGTTCAAAACTCTTTATAAAGTGCACTTTAAAGGCATAGTACTGTACAGGGACATGATGAAAAAATTCTGTAAATGCATTGAAAACCAATTAATCTGCTCGTATTGCGAAAAAATTTATTTTCAATGGATTTTAATTTGTAAATCGAAAATTACCCAAGGCGTTTGTAAAACGAGGTACGCATATATATATATATATATATATATATATATATAATAATAATATAACTCCTCTGGTACCTGCCCATTTGCTTTTGTGGCCGGGGATTCCCAGACATGTCAGTGAATAACCTGGATGACATCCGTAAGGGTAAGGTAAGGTTGTGGCTTCCTTAGCAACCATTGTCAACTAGATGCTGCCATGTTCATCCATGCCAAATGTCCTAAACAAACACCAGAACAGTAAGCGTTTGGTCCGAACTTACATGTGGACCAAACAATCAGTTCATACCTGTCGATGACCTGATAAACCATCTGGCTGGGGCTTGTTATATCACTACTTTAGACCTATGTAAGGTCTAAAAACAGCAGAGAATGGGGAATACTTATCCTTCATGCACCCCTTCAGATGATAAGTAATTTCCTCAGCATGCCTTTTGGAATGAAAAATGTACCTGTCTCCTTTTAGCAAACCGTCCATCAGCTGTTACATGACTGTTAGGACTTTCCCTGCAACCATCTCAATGATATTCCCATCTTTAGTGATCACTTCCTATTTGTGAGCAGTATCGTAGATGAAATTGGAAATGCCAAGCTCACCATCCAACCAGATAAGTGCCAGATAGGAATGGCAGAAATGCATTACTTAGGACACCAAGTGGAGGAATAAGCCTGTATCTAGAACCGACTACCGTAGAAACCATTAGGGACTGGCCCATTTCTCAGAGTAGTCTGAGAGTCCTGGCTTTCTTGAGCACTGCTAACTTGGTTCCTAATTTTTAGCACAATAGCAAATCCTCTGAAGGACCTCACCAAGAAGACCATGCCCAAGTTGGTGACTTGGACCCCGACCTGCCAGACTTCGAAAAGCTAGAAGACACCTTCACCTGTGACCTAGAAGATTCTACATATGGATTTGGGCCATTCTCAGCCAGGTAAACAAGGCTGGAGAGGAGCAACTTATCACATTTCTTAACAGAAAGCAGAGGGACTGGGAGGTGGCACACGCCAGTACCTGGCCATTGTATGGGCTCTGCAAGAACTACTTCATCTCAAGCTCCATGAATGAAACACAATCTATGAATGGACAACAGGCAGATAATTGATAAGTCCACCCACTCCATTCATAGATCGTGTTTCATTCATAGGAGCTGTAATGCCTTCTATGAATGGAACAGCTTCTTGCAAAGGGAAGGCATAACCCCTGCTGCACTGGAAGATTACAGCGATGGGGGTAGGGAAGCAGTTAGGTTTTGGTAAAAGGAGGACACAGCAGCACAAGGGACACAACTCCCCCAAGGTAAATAATGTCCCTTGTGTTGATTTTCTTTTTTGTTTTTCTTTTTTTTGTTTTAGGTAAACTTAGGCTTTAAGTATTCTGGCTTTTATCAAAGCTTTATTTTATTTTTAGAATAAGTAGATTCTGTGAATCATATACCAGTAGTGATAGTTGTAAAATCAACCCA